TCCCTTCGTTACCCTTTGTATCACAATGCAGCACTATTCTCCTAAAAAACCCAAACCGTCTTCGAACTATATATATATATATATATATCTATATATATATATATATATATATATACATATTCAGGCTCCTACAACGCCCGCAGCCCCATTTTCTCACGATGGCTTCATGATGTCGTGTATCTCACAGCAACGGCACCATCGGCCATTCCAGAGTCGATCCCATACAGCAGCGCGTAATCCTCCACCCAGGAGAAGAGAGAGGAGCCAGAAGCGTAGGCAAATCCGAAAGTGTTCACCTGGGCTTTGAAGTAACCAGGGAGAAAGTACAGACTTTTATTTCATAATGGGTCCTTTAAGGAACAGGTCTCCAAAAAAAGTATTAAAGTATGGTGCTCCAAGGCCCAGTCACTTCGATGAAATAAGGCTCCAGCAACTCCGGGGAATTCAGATCCACGTTCAAGGCCGGGTCGCTGGAAGTTCTGTAGGAAGCAGGTGGTCCAAGGAGGACGATGTCAAGGACGAAGCTGGGCATTAGGTCTTCCAGGCGCGGGATCACGGTGGATGTAATGTAAGGCAGAAGTCGTCGGAGCCAGTTCTCTACAACTCTAGCGCGATCCCCTTGGGACAGTGGCGCCAGAATCGGATTGATGGCATATAGCTTCTGCTGCGAGAATGCCGTGACTCGGCCGCTGGAGACAAAGACCCGAAACTCACGAAACGCATCCAGGTCTGTTCGCCAGGGGAACAGGTAGAGCTTCAGCTGTTCAGTGCCGCTGTCAACGCCCTGGTGCCCGCCACGTGCTGTCACAGCCGACTCGATGATCGATTTTAAGGAGGCGTATGGCCCCACCCCGTGCATTCCATCCTCGGTTGGCACTTATTGTCTGCGACGCTAACGGTAAGGATGGAGAAAGGCACTGGCTTGAACACGTGTCCTTTAAAGGCATCAACCCAATCAGGGAAAGAGAAGCCCTAAATAGCCCTAATCGCTACGCCTGAAAGCCCCAAACCTTTATAGCACCCTTGTATATATTCCTTTAAAGGGACCCCAAACCCTTTATCACGGCCTACCCAGCGTCCTTCAGGCTCACTCGCTCCGTGCGGACGAAGTAGCAGCTGTTCGGCTTTGACGAATCGCAGAATCTGAAGGACCAAACACAACAGCTTAGGGTGGTTCGGGTTTAGGCCTAGGGCTTTTTGGTTGTCGGAAAGCCTGAAGGACCAAACACAACAGTTTCGGGTTTTTGTTGTCCGAGGGACCAACTAATCGAAATTCTAGGTGATATCCTCGACAACCAGAACCCTAAAGCCTAAACTCCCCAACTGCTACGTACAGGCTAGAGAGCCATAGCCTGAAGCTTAAACTCCCAACCCAAGATTCATGCAAGGAGCTGGAAGGTGTCGCCGCAAGCTGTTTCGGAGACGGCGGCCTCCAGATCGTCCCGGAAAAGGGGCGAGAAGCCAGCCTAGAAGCCAAGTGAGCCGTGTAGCATGTTACGGCCCTGTAAGTCCTACTTAAGCCCGAAAAGTACCCCCAACCCATAAGCCCCAGTACCCATAAATAAACCAATCGACCATGTAGTTGCTTGGGCTTCTAGAGCCGGCCTGCTGTACTGCCAGTCGCGATGCTTCTCTCATCCATGTCGTGTGCTCGCGCGGAACGTTCACGATACCTGGGTCCCTGTTACAGGCAGGAAACAACGGATCCTTTTGGGGTGCTCTCTATATAGAGTACTATAAGCCCCTAGGGCTTTGAAGTAACCAGGGAGACAATAGTATAGACGTTTATTTTATAATGGTTCCTTTAAGGAACAAGTCCCCCCAAAAAAGTATTAAAGTATGGTACTCCGAAGCCCAGGAGAGTTGACCCAAGATACGATAGTGGCCCCGAAATCGATCGACCCAGTGGCGCGTGGAGCATTTTTCCAAGGCTTCCCGGTAGTCTGCCGGTGGCTCCGGCGCCTCCAAAACCCCTTAATTAAGGAATACACCTTAAATTATATTAGGAATCCTACTAGGATGTAAGGTATATTCCTTAATTA